GGTGTCGCCACAGTCTGAAATTTGACGTTGTATTGATGTAAGTTTAAGAAGTGGAACCGAAAAACAGAAAGGGGATAAATCTAAAAACTTTATGTACATTGTAACTCAGTTTAGATAAACATAATTTGTATCCATTTCTTTCTGTATCGATTCTTCTTTTCGAAACATATTATTTACAAAAATGCCTTCGCGACAACGGCACTAGCTGACAAATACATTACCCACTCAACTGTTTTGTTTTGAATTAGACTGCGAGTTAAGCTCCTTAACCACGTGGCCATGCCGGGCCCCACTTAACTGTATGAAACCCAACTCTGGACTTAATGAAAGACTCCGCCAAGCTAAACTGAACCCAAAGGGAAAACGTCAGTCTATGGTTTCTTCAATCACTCACCGCTCTGTCCTTCTAAGTGAACATTGCGCCAATATCCAACCAGAGGTCGCCACATTGCAATGATATTTTTATAATATTATTTAAAAAATGTAACCATCAAAGTCGTAGATACATAAGCAAATTGGTGCATAAATAGTTTAAACATTTATGTCAATTTTGACCCTATTGGTAATTCTTAGGTAACAACAACTTTTTGCTTCTATACAGTCGGGACATATATATAGTTTTCTAATGCTGAACAAATCTTTTCAGAACAGACTGTATTGACATATTGAATAAGTGTGTAGATTACAGTCGGCTGCCAGCCGGCCAGACCCCAACAACACTTTGTGAAGTTCTTTCGCCACCAGGGGATGAGCCGCCTTGTATATCCCTAAAACCATACTTGGGTAGGTTCTGAAATTTTCATTTTATCAGCGTGTTATAAACATACTTATATTTGTAGCATGAATAACGATATTATGTGTATTTAATAGCTTATTTTGAAACAGTTGAAATTGATTATTTCTCTAACTTTCTAGTATTTGTAATTTATTCAACCTTGAGTGAAAAGTTTGAATTAAAATCAGTGAAAGAAATATTTATTTTTTATTATTTCCGAGTATTTACATCTGCACTTTAAGGCCAAAACCATTGGCACAGATACTTTGTGCTGTGTTTCTCTGTTAGGGCCTCATTCCAATTGGTAGTGGGTGCTCTTTTGACGTTAATCACAGCCTTGGCTCTGTTACTGACACTTGCCAACAACCTTTGGTACACATTTTTGGATTACACCGCCAGTTCAACCATAAAGCCGCTCTACGTGCGTAGAGAAATATCAGAGTCTATAGTTTCTGTTTTTCAGGCGTCGTTTCAAAACGTCTCTCGCACATCGGTACATCTGAGGACTTATACCGCTAGACACCAGGTTTGAATACCCGTGGTGGGCAGAGCACAGATAACCATTTGTGTAGCTTTGTGCTTAACAACAGTCAACAACAATCAAAACGTCTCAGAGAGATTAAATTGTTCGGTGGTATTAACTATCCAAGGTAGACTAGATGCTATCTGTACCAACCGTTGTTAGCTGGTGTTAACTGTCCAAAGTAGACTAGATGTTATCTGTCCCAACCGTTGTTAGTTGGTATTAACTGTCCAAGGTAGACTAGATGTTATCTGTCCCAACCGTTGTTAGTTGGTATTAACTGTCCAAGGTAGACTAGATGTTATCTGTCCCAACCGTTGTTAGGTGGTGTTAACTGTCCAAGGTAGACTGGATGTTATCTGTCCCAACCATTGTTAGGTGGTGTTAACTGTCCAAGGTAGACTAGATGTTATCTGTCCCAACCGTTGTTAGGTGGTGTTAACTGTCCAAGGTAGACTAGATGTTATCTGTCCCAACCGTTGTTAGGTGGTGTTAACTGTCCAAGGTAGACTAGATGTTATCTGTCCCAACCGTTGTTAGGTGGTGTTAACTGTTCCAACCGTTGTTCGGTGGTGTTAACTGTCCAAGGTAGACTAGATGTTATCTGTTCCAACCGTTGTTGGACGCAACGTGCAGTGTAGCATGGAGCATTATGATGCTGTAAACGTTATGGCTTCCTTCCCTACGAAGTGCCAAGTTGGTCAAAGTATTACAATAGGACAAAGTATTCATTGCTACCTTAACTACTACTGGTGTAATAAGATTAAAATAATCTGAAACAGGTCGTTACCATATTACTACTAACTCTTTTCAAGGTTTGAACGATACAGTTAAAACTGAAACATCTTCCAGGTTGTTTTGAACCCCACACCTGTCTGTTTAAAACAACACTCAAAACATTCTCCAGGTTGTTTTGAACCCCACACCTGCCTGTTTAAAACAACACTCAAAACATTTTCCAGGTTGTTGTCAAACCCACACACGCCTGTCTAAAGCAATATCCAAAACATTCACACACGTGTCCATCATTTTCCAGGTTGTTGTCAAACCCACACACATCTGTCTAAAGCAACATCCAAAACATTCTCCAGGTTGTTGATAGGAGTGGGTTTGGGGCTGCAACCCGACTTTGGAGTCCAGAAGTATTGTTCCTGCAGTCTTATATAATGGATTTAATAGTAAATATTCGGTTTAATTGCACACATTTCAAAGTTCACCTGAACCTAGGAATGATTAATGTTGGATGGCTTGACACATTGGCTTGTTTTGTAGTCTTACATTTCTTCAGCAAGTTGCTTATAATATACTCTAGGGTTGGTGAACTAAAGGACATTGAGGATAATTATGCTTTCAATAACAATTGTATTATAGAAGTTCACCCTTTTTTTGGTAGCTTGTTGTTCGAAGCTACAGCTGACCTTTAGATATCTTCCACTGCAATTCAGCATGGAATGCACGTGCAAATTACTCAGAACACGTTATTATTTTTCCGAGAAAAAAGAAAAGCGGTGATGTTTGTGTGGTGTTATTCGTCTAAAATCACTAACTTTTCAACTTTCTAGAAGAAAGCGACCACATTAGAACAGCAACAGAAGTGACACATCCGTGTACAGCGGGAGTTTGCAACGGCGCTGACGTATGCATAGTGAACCGAGACTGTTCATACGGACGGCCATGTTTTCCTCACAAATGCTTGCCAGGTAGGTGTCGCTACTAAATCAAAGCTTGTAATATTGTTTTTATAAGACTAATATTAGTAACAAATTTATATTTTAGATCATTTCAGTTATATTTTTTAAAGTTTCTTATACAAAATAAAACGCATTAAAAATATGGGACTTCTTGTGTGCTTCAGATAACACAATAAACTAATCAAAGTTTTAGTTTTGTGCTAATAAACTTGCAGTTTGTTTGTTGTTAAGCGCAAAGCTACACAATGGGCTATCTGTGCTGTGTCTACCACGGGTATCGAAACCCGTTATAATCCTTCAGGCTTACCGATGAGCCACTAACTATGCAGATATTTTAGAAAACAATATATTGGTTGTTTCTTTGTTTAAATCTAATCCAGATACATTAATCTGTCTGTATTGAAGGAATACGACGTAGCAAGAGAATTTTTCAGTCTAATGTGAAACGAACTATTAGAGTCTATGTTTCTTAGGAACTATTAGTCTCACAACTCATGTTTCGTAGAAACTATTAAAGCCTCACAACTCATGTTTCGTAGAAACTATTAAAGCCTCACAACTCATGTTTCGTAGGAACTATTAGAGCCTCACAACTCATGTTTCTTAGGAATTATTAGAGCCTCACAAATCTTGTTTCGTAGGTACTATTAGAGCCTCACAACTCATGTTTCTTAGGAACTATTAAAGTCTCACAACTCATGTTTCTTAGGAATTATTAGAGCCTCACAACTTATGTTTCTTAGGAACTATTAGAGTCTCACAACTTATGTTTCTTATGAACTATTAGAGTCTCACAACTTATGTTTCTTAGGAACTATTAGAGTCTCACAACTTATGTTTCTTTGGAACTATTAGAGTCTCACAACTCATGTTTCTTATGAACTATTAGAGCCTCACAACTCATGTTTCGTAGGAACTATTAGAGCCTCACAACTCATGTTTCTTAGGAACTATTAAAGCCTCACAACTCATGTTTCTTATGAACTATTAGAGCCTCACAACTCATGTTTCGTAGGAACTATTAGAGTCTCACAACTATGTTTCTTAGGAACTATTAGAGTCTCACAACTCATGTTTCTTATGAACTATTAGAGTCTCACAACTTATGTTTCTTTGGAACTATTAGAGTCTCACAACTCATGTTTCTTATGAACTATTAGAGCCTCACAACTCTATTGCACAACTCATGTTTCGTAGGAACTATTAGAGCCTCACAACTCATGTTTCTTGGGAACTATTAGAGTTTCACAACTCTTTCTTAGATCTCGAGTTGAGATAGTGAATGAAAGTTACTTTTTATAAAACGGATAGACACTGTTATAAATGGAGCTTGCTTTCCAGCTTTTCTGGAACTAAACATTAGCTAGATAACTCCCTTGTGACCACACGATCTAACTAAGTTTTTGCAAGCCATGAAAAGCAATGAGAACAAACCACTGATATACCTAACTTTAGTTTCTAAGCTATGAAGAAAACATTATGAATGTGCTATGAAGAACGACACAACAGTCCCTCTTCCCTTTACAGTCAGTAGTTGACTTTTTTTGAATCAGATTTCGTGTTTCAAATTCTAAAGAAAAACCAGTATTTTTTTACTGATATTTTTTGAAATTGTATTATTTGTGTTGTTGTTTATTGTTCAGTAGAAAGAGCTTCTTAATAGGCCATCTCTGCTGGGCCTGCCGCATGGATCGAACCCCGAACGTTAGTGATATAAGCCCTTAAGCGTACCGTCGATCAAGTGAGTCGATACGCGAGTTCTTTGATTCGTTATTTTTGTTTTTAGACGAATGTGTTTGAAGGGTAAGATGTCTGTTGGGCTGTGTTTTGAAACTTATTGAATATATAAATATGTAGTGAGAAATGTGTAGTTTAATAACTTTTTTACGTGTGTTTATTTGAGAGCAGTGCCACATTGGGCTATCTGCTGTGTCCACCGCGGGGAATCGAACCTCGGATTTTAGCATTATAAGTCCATCGACTTACCGCAGTCCCACCGGGGGGGCATTTAATAACTTTTTTTTACGTGTGTTTATTGAGAGCAGTGCCACATTGGGCTATCTGCTGTGTCCACCACGAGGAATCGAACCTCGGATTTTAGCGTTGTAAGTCCATCGACTTACCGCAGTCCCACCGGGGAGGGGGCATTTGATAACTTGTTTATCCATTTTGTACTTAATGGGTCACATATGTTGTGTTTTCAGGGTGCAAGCTAGGAGAAATGTCCCATCTCATCGTTCCTCTAGGGTCATACGTTCGAGTACCGGAAGTGTCACACGATTATCACTGCCTGAAAGAACAACAGATTTGTAAATGTTCATCCTCTGGCAAACTCGAAGGGTGCGTCAGTCTACCATGTGTGACCCAGAAAAACTGCTGGTTGAGAGGAGACAAGATACGTAAGTTTTGACCTTCTGTCAATAACTATAGTTTCATATGTTTTCTGCTAACCTATGGTTATCATCGTGTATATCAGGATATTGTTAGATCAGCTGTGGTAAATGGTTATCTCGGGAATGTATGAAACATCAGAAAAGAGGTTTTGATAGTTCAAACCCATTTACTAGATAAAAGTAGGTAATATATTGTGAGTAGGGAAAATAAATACCCCTAGATGGCGACTGGAGGAAAGGTGGTGATTGAAGAAAACGAACTTCCACTTAGAGTATAACATATTATAAAAAAAAATAGGGATTCAAGACTAATAAAAAAGGTTTCTTTCAATAGCGCAATTGATAGTAATGTGACGTATTTATCTGATGTGGTTAATCGCTCACTACATTTGAAACTTTTTATGTGTATATCCTAGCCCACAGTTCCCGCTTCTACATTGGCTGTAATAAGTGTATATGTTTCTCTGGCGAGACCGTGTGTTCTCAGCGATCTTGTCCTGATAATACACAGTTGCAACAATCCTCAGTCACTGGTAAGTTCAATGCAAAAGTTTTACTTCCTTCAAAACGATAATAGTATTTTTTGTAAATAATTTTAACCTTGCTCGTGGAACGTAACGTACTAGATAAACACAGCTGTTGGACTGTCCGGGGTAGCTTATAGCTTCCATCAAAATATTTACCAAATTCAGTTTTACTATAAAAACTACACACTGAATATATTCAATCTATACTCCAAAGACTTGAAAAATTAATAGAGCTGTTCCATTCCTATTGGCTGGCTCCGAGCGTGGCCCAGTGGTTAGTTTGTTGGACTATAGATACGAGATTCAGTGGTTCGGGTCCTATCACTGACCCGGGGGCTTTATAACAATAACGGTAAAATTCCACTGTTCGGTCTCACAAGGGTAGTCCAAGAGTTGGCAGTGGGTGGCGTTGACTAGCTGCCTTCCCTCTTATCTATCACTTCAAAATTAGGGACGGCTTACACAGATAGCCACGTGTAGCTTTGCCAAAATAAAAATAAAATCAAACAAACACTTCTCTTAGACAAAGATAACATACTACAACAACCACTCTGTGATGAATTCAAATTCGGTGACGAGGAACCCACTTTAAGACTAATAATGGCTGGAGACGGCTTGAATGGGTAATGAAGAAAACTTATATTAAAGTTTTTCTTCATTACCCATTCAAGCCGTCTCCAGCCATTATTAACCACTCTGTGTTGATCCTGTTTCTGTATCTTCGATCTTCTGGAGTGCGCGTTATCAAATTCACTGATTGACCTTTGAGTATTCGGGTAGGAGATGCAGAATAACTGGAGGTTCGCCATAAAATGTAATTCAGAGCAAAATCTGATTTCTCTTAAACTTAATTGATGAGTCTGAAGCAAAAAAAAAAAAAGAGAAAGAATGGTTACAAGTTTAAGCTCAGTAAAACAATCAACAAATTTCAACAGTCACAAGCACAGTCAGGGATCTCTTCAATGGTAAGTGTATTTCAACTGGATTGTGTTTAAAGTAAATCAGTTAATATTTCAGTCTCAAATGTAAATTATAATATCTTTTCATCCTCAGCCTTCAGACTGAAAGAACGTGACATTATATAGAAAGAACAATAACGCTAGATTCTTTCAGGGCAAAGGAGAAACCCTGCAAAGGAGAAGGTTTTCACCTTCGTCAGATTATGTTTACTCTGTTCGTACACTTTCTCTAATTAGTCGTAATGAAAGTTTGATCTAAAATAAAAGCATATTTTAACTTCAGGACATGAAGACTTCTCACCTCGGCCAATTCTTTAGGCACAACCCTAAAAAATATTTTAATATTAAAATAGAACATTAATAAAAAAAATATATTATATAATATAAAATAAAAAACTGGGATAAAATAGTATAGTAAAGATGGCTGATATACATGTTAAAACTTCTATCCAAAACGTAAAGTAAGTAACAACGTTACGATGTGCTTATGTCATCATCAAGTTAAGAATGACTTTGAAAAAGTGACAGTTATTGATCACGTGTCGTGGGGACGATAATACACAGGGACACGGTTCGGCAGCATTATTGACCGCGTTTATTTTAACGTGTACACAAACTAGCACGTGGCTTTTGACATGGTATAGTGAAGATGCTTAAATACTCATCTGTATGCCTTCAAATCACTATGTTATGTTAAATTATTCGAAAAATATTGTAACTTTAAGTTAACTTTATGGAATCATTATGATAACAGAGCATTGAAGCCAATACTTAACAGTTACACTATATTATCACCCAGTAAATGTAGGCCTATTAGTCTTACACCAGTTGTGGGAAAAGTTTTGGAAAGTCTGATAATAGATGCTTTGCAAAGTCGTTTAACAAAGCTTAGAATTTTGTTGGATAGTCAACATGGTTTCACTAAGGGAAATCTTGCCTTACAAATCTTTTGACA